TTTTTTTTTTTTCAACGCTGGTTGTACAAGACACACTCTCCTCCAGCTTTGAAATGGCTTTTTACATTACTAAACCTTCAATTCATTGATACTCCTTTTAAAACTTTGTCTGTACATTTTGCGGTTAAAAAGCAGTAGAAGTTCTATGAAGAACACATAATTAGGAGTAATGCCATAAGGTAGAAAAAAAGAGTCAATCTTTTACTTACTGTTTAATTAATTTTTGACTTTTATTTCTGCTTAGCAGTATATTCACAGTTCATTTGTAAATATAAAGGTTACTAGATACAACACAGGAAAAAGTATATCTAGCTTAACAGCAATGTGAAAAAAAAACTGTTTTGGCAATTTTATAGAGTACATTGTTAAGCAGTTACTACAAAAATATTACCAGAAAATGGTTAATTAAAAGGAATGCGTTCTGTTACAGTATATGTTATTGATTCTGTATGATATGTTTTGAACTTTATTGTTGAATAAACTGATATTAGAATGCAACATTAATACATATGTGGAAAAGTGCTAAATAAATACAAAACAAAAAAAGCTTTAGAACATTTGATTTCAATATCAATTTGATTGGTTATACTGGTGAATTAAAATATCAGACCTCAAACATCAAAATTTAATCAAGACAAATTGCAGCTTATTGCTGTTCCAACAAATCTATACATCAAGAACCTTTAAAAATTTTACTGGGATCTGGTGGCAAAAAAAAAAATAATGATGTTTCTCCAGACAACTCTGATCCTTCTTCTTGGCTTTTCTTCAGTTTCCAGCTACAAAATCCTAGTATACTCACGAAAAATCGCATACAGTCATGTTATGTTTATGGGCAGAATAGCTGATGTATTAGTTGATGCTGGACATGAAGTGGTTGGTTTTTCAATTTTGCTTTCTTTTTTTTTTTTTTCAGTGTTAAAGAGCTGGTTATTTTTACGTATAAATACTGACTCTTTTATGATATTAACAAGATAGATTTTTTAAGCGTATGGTTTTTCTAGAAATTTGTACTAGTCATATATAAGACAGCCTTAGAATTATAATTTTTAAATTTCTCTGAAAAAAGTGGTAAAGGATGATACAGTAGTTCTGCCAGATCCTGAACTTTTCTGTTTTGGCAAAATCTTTTTGTAGAATTTTGCTTAAAGTTAACTGACTATATCAAAGTTCTTAAGTTTTCTTGCATAAATTATTTACTGCAAATTTGAAGATTGTCATTTTTTACGTTCAATGTTTTGAGATTTTGTATAAGCATTATTTTTCTTTAAAAATAATTGGAAGTAACAATCATACATAAAACAAGTTAGCAGCAATGATTTTATAGTAAATTTTTTGTTTTAAAATTTCTAAGGAAATCTTCTTAAGTTTTTTTTGTGGGGTAAGGCTCTACTGAATTCGTCTTTTCCAACTGTGTCAAAATAAGCAGACAAAAAAGAATTGCCAAAGTTTTTATATTGATATGCAAATCAATTTACATTTGCTCAGTTAATTTTGACACTTTAAAATAAATGCTATTAAGAAAACTATAATATATTTACCTTTTTAAGGTAGTTTTGCTACAAGATGCAATAAGTGACTTTAAGTCAAATGGTTTTGAAAAGGCTAGAGCAATTCACATGCCTGCAACTTTTAAATTGGACCTTAACTTAACTGATCATTTGAAACAATTTTGGAATAGTGAGATGGTGTCTGTGTCAGGACTGATCCAGGTACGTTTTTCTTGTCTACAGTTAATAGTTTTGTCTTCTTATTTAGGGAATAAATTGGGAAATATTATAAAAATTGTGATAAGTAGGAATTTGTTTGAAACGTATCAATTGCGTATTATCAACCATTGAGAATTTAAAAAGCAAAAAGTGCTTTTTTAATCTGTGTGCTTTTTAGGTTTAGTACTGCTAACTTTTTTGCTAAATATAAAAGTTTATTCTTAACTTAAATAAAAAATCTGCTAAATAAAGTTCAATTTTTAGTTGAGACGTCTGATGGCAAAATATTCAGCAAGGCTATGCGAATGTAAGCGGTAATTTGCTAGTTTAAAGAAAAAACAAATGTGACCATTTTGCTTGAATTAATTTTATTGAATTCTTCTTCACTTTAGCTCAGCTACAAAACAAAGCTCAACTTGAAACTATGCGCCAGGAAAAATTTGATTTGGGCATTGGGGAGTATTTTGACCTGTGTTATTTGGGGTATTTCAAAGCTATCGACTTGAAGAGGTACGTATCGGTAGCTTCCATCGGACTTTATGGAAGATTAGCAGCGTTGCTGGGTATTGAGAGCAATCCCAGTTTTGTACCTAGTATGTATTTTTCATCTTTATCAAGAATGAAATAGAAGACAATCTGCGCAAAAAGAAATTCAATCTTTAAAAAGTATGACTTTATCGTAAGAGTAATTGTCCCAAAAAAAAGTTGTTTTGATGTAAAAATCCATTTTCAGTAGAAAATTTTATTGAAAAAGTGTGAAAGTTAAAAATTTGCGTAAAACATGGTGAATAATTTGGCGAAAATTACTGTATTTTTGATATCTAAAGCAAATGGTAGAGCCTAATAGAAGCGCCTGGTAGAAAAAATTCATAAGGGTGGTAGGGAAAAAGGTGCTCAAGAAGGTGTTAGTGATGGATTTGGTCTAATAAGGGTTCTTTTCTCTTATAATAGTCTTTTATTTAAGGAAAGCCTTTTAGTGACTTATGAGCTGAGAAGACTTTTAGTGAACAAACTTGAAAATGTATGGAACTAGATGAGTTTATCTTTGTTGTGGACGGCTTATTATCTCTAAAAAAATCAGTTATCTGTCTTTCTGCCGTGTGTGAATACGCACATAGAATCCTGAGGATAGCTGCTTCGACGAGTGTGTCTGTTCTTGTAACAGCAAACTTTCAAAAGATATCCTTATTTGTCTTAATTTTTCTTTGAAACGGTATCTTATTTGCATAACAAAATCGAAGAAAAGTTTGTGCAACTTCTCGGGTGCAGTAGGTACTTAAGGCTTATGCAGAGCTTCTGTAGTCGCAAAAGTTGCAGTATTTGGTGAAAACCAAAGGAGCTTGTGTGGATTTGCAGGTTACGCTGAGCTTAGACAGACTTTGCTTCTCCGTGACTTGGGTATACATGAAATATGTTTTGAAATATATCAAGATTTTAGAAACCGAAGTTTGCTGAACAGAAAATTCGTTGATAATCTATACCTTCCTAACTATTGTAGAGGTTGACGATGTTTCTGAATCGCATTGGATTTTCTTTCACTTTTCAGCATTTATAATTTCAGCAGTTTTTCAGTTGAAAATAAAAAGAAGGTTCTCTATTGTGTTATTAACAGTTCAAAGAGCAAAAATTTTTTTCTAAAACTTTCGTACAAGAATGATAGAAAAATTACAAACCGTTTAACCTGTAAGCGAAGTGTTGCAATAGTGAGTTTTAACAACATAAACGTGTCTCTTTTAATCTAAAAACTTGGTATGCCGTGCAGCGACAGTTAATTTATTGAAATCTGCAGAGTAAGTGGCCATTTACCACGAAAATCGCCCTCATTTTTAGTGCCTTTAAAAAGACTAGTTACGTTTTAGCGTTATACGGCGACACAACAGATGTTATGAGCTATACCGAAAGAGTGGGGAATCTAGCAAAGGTTATGGCAGAAAGAATCATTGACTACTTTTTTTATGACCCTGAAATGAAAGCAATGTTCGAACGAAATCTTGGGAAGGATTTCGATGAGGGTGTAATGATTTAAGCGCAGAACACGCATATCCATTTGCATTAAGCGTCTGTTCGTGGCTTCGCTTACTGACAACGATTTTGTTGTTTAAGGAAGCGCTCGCGAATAGTACGTATGTATTGGTAAATGCAGATGAATTTGTGGAATTTCCAAGACCGATGAGTTATAAAGTTGTCTACATCAACGGTGTTGCGAGAAAGGAACCAAAACCCCTTGATAAAGTAAGGCAGAGACATTTAGACTAGGTAGATCTATCATAACTAAATAAAAGATAAATCAAAAATTAGGCTTTTTTTGACTTCTAATTCTTAGCTCGCGTTATAAAAATGTCCACCTATGCAAAAGTAGCAGAAAAAAGACAGAAGTTTAATAAATATTAATTACGCGAGTGTTTAAATAATAGCAGATCTTGACAGGTGTAATAAGCAAGCCGAAGTTCCAGAGCTAGCCGTAAGTAAAACGCACTCTTTCTGTTGGAGCGTCGGACTGTGAAAGTATTTCGGAAAAACGCTGTAGAGATAGCAGTGAGTCTTTAAAAAAAAAAAGACCTTCAATAAATACAGCATTTCAGAAATATCAGAATGTTTTGGACGGTGCGACTCAAGGCGCAGTCTTCATATCATTTGGTTCAATGATGAAGAGTGCTTTGATGCCCGATCAAATGAAAAATGCGTTTGTAGAAACTATCAGAAGCTTTCCTCAAGTACTATCTTTTTTTATTAAAATTTTTGCTATATTCTTACAATTTATGCCTCACTGGCTTGCCAAAATATGTTTTAAAAAACTGTTTAGAATTAGCCAAAAAAGGCCGTTGTAAAAAATGGTACCAAAGTCTAATACTATCTTACTGTACTGCAGCATCTAAATTTAGTTCTGCTTCTGTCACTGTTCTTCACACTAGGAGCCTCAGAAACTGTAATCATCATTGTAGTTTTATAGAAACCTCTTCAAAGTAACTTCAAGGTAGCTTCGTATTCTTGAAGTTTCACGTCAGTACCAAAGCAGCCCTTCTTTATCAAGGAAGCTTCGTTTTAATATTTTAAGTTAAATTTCGCGCTCAAAAATCGGGCTTTAGAAAAAATGTGGTAAACGTACAAACAAATCCATCGACACGATCTAAGTCTCCAGTCTTCAGTTTCGACTAAAGCCAAAATTAAATTTATTTAAATAACAATATGGCTCATCGCTTATCTTTTAACACCATTCCTTGCCATCATCCTCACTACTCTGTTGCTTTTGCGGAGTATTAGGCAGCGCTACCGGTTTTTTATGGCAAGTATACGGAAGCGTAAAGCAAAAAAGCGGTCATTTTCAAGGAATTATGAACGCTTAAAAAGATTCCAAACTATAAGTAGAAATAACAACTTTTACTCTTATCAAAAGTTTTAAAGTACTGGAAAAATATACGTGCAAAAATCATTTATTTAGATTAAGTTCATTTGGAAGTACGAAGCGAGCGATGATTTGGGAAGCGATTTGCCAAACCTTATAAAGATTAATTGGGCACCACAAATAGATCTTTTTGGTAAGTAAGGTTTTTCACTTTTCACGATCGTGAAACGAAAAAGAAAAATATTTTAGCGCATCCAAATATGAAGTGTTTTATTACCCATTCGGGTCTAAACAGTGTCTCAGAAGCTATCAGAGCCGGCATTCCGATGATTACTATTCCACTCTTTGCCGAACAATTGAGAAATTCCAGAATGGCTGAAAAGCGTCATATATCTGTGAGATTGAATAAGCAAACTCTCTCAAAAGAAACCCTTTCAAATGCCCTTAAAAGTATTTTATATGATAAGAGGTAAAATCTTCAGTGTTACGGTAAATAACAGTAGCTAAAAAAGACGTATAAAGCTTAAGAATCTAATCAGTTTCAGAAACATGACTTGTCTACTAGCGTAATTTAATTTAGATATGAGAAAGCAGCGAAAAGATTACAGCAAATGATTCTGGAAAAGCCGTTCAATGCAACAGAGCGTCTAATAAAACACGTCGAGTTTGCAGCCAAATTCGGTCAAGTTGACAACCTCAATTTGGCGTCCACAAAGCTCTGTTTCTTTCGGTATTACCTCCTTGACATATTAATTCCCTTTTTCACCATATTGCTCTTGCTCATAGCTCTCATTGTCTACTTTTTTATTTTCATAATCAAAAAGTTACAGTTCTACAGAAAGGTTAAGTCGGAGTAAAAGTGCCGACCTGCAGTTTCATAAGTTGTGATCTTTTACTCAAACTCCGTCAGGCAGACATTTCACTTTTCCAGAAATGCCGTCTTTTGATATTTTTCTCATGACCAAACTGAACTGTCAGTCGCCTTTCCATAGCTTAAATTCATAAAAACACGCTATTTAGTTTAAATCGGAACTCCTGTTACTACCTTTTTCCATCCACTCCTCAAACCTACAGTCTGAAAGCTTAACTTCTGGTTCCGTGTTAGTTCTTGGACTATCCTCATTTAGAGCGTCCATTTATAAACCTCACTTTTTTCTCTCAGAGAATACACATGGTTTATATAGATATATAACACTTTATAAAAATTTCACACTTTATGAGCCATTTTCTATCGGCTTTGACCTTTACCCCTTTGGTCTCTACAGAATTGTGATAAATATTGACACTGTTCATACATAAAAAATAAAATATACCTTTTCCTACCATACCGAATCAATTTCATCCATACTGGGCAGTGTACAGGGAAAAGTTATGACGATCAAACCCTTGTAAACGCATACCGAGAACTCAATACAGACAAATACCGCGAATTGTACAAGTAAAGTCAGATACCTGAGAGAAAATTGCTGCACTTAAAGAATGCAAAAACTGGTAATCAAAAATCACCAAGCTCAAACATTTTAAATTTGTGGAGGAATTTCAGTACGTTGAACCACCATGTCACTTTACAGCACATGATTCACTCACCATTTTTTCAACAATTCACAGCATGATCTATACTCATGGATTTTATGTTACTTTAACTTTTGCAAACCTTCAAGTATGTACAGTACTTCACCACGCTCACCTCCCAAAAGCATTTCGCACTATACTCGACTTCCCCGAACGTTCTAAAGCATTTAAACATACAACCCTCCTTACAACCAATTCATAATACCTTGTTCAGCTTCAATAAAAATTAGATAATTTCAACATACTCATTCCCATTCAGGCATACTGCATTCTTTTGTAACACTCTTCAAACGAGGTGCCGCCACCAAAAATGTAGGCGACTCCCTAAAAATTTCGAAGCTCATTTAGACTGGTGACCCCATTTTTTTTTCCTCTCCGGCAGGCAAGGTTCCTTCCAGCCCAAGCAAGGCGCTAACAAGTAACATCTTGCATGAACTAGCAGCAGTCGACCAACATCCGATTGCTTCGTCTGCTGACATGCAGCGCGACTAAACCTGACCAAGTAAACGATTCCTTTTATAAATATAACCGTTCAGGCGTCGACGGGTTTCCGCGGGAAGCTATAGTGGCTCAGAAGTTGACAACTGCACCTCACGAAGAAATAGGAAGAATGCATGTAGGCTGCCGTACACTGTCAAACCAGTACAGAATGTGATGTATAAATAATTTAACTGATGTTATGAAGTGGTAGTCACCTTCGCGCGATAGAGATTGGGGCACTTGAGTGGTGCCATTTTGGTTCAATTATCCAATCTCCGACTGACTGAGGGCTGCTGATGTGTGCTTTGCAGACAAAAGCAGCTCAATTTTTGCATTAGCGTCCCTCATCAAAAGGACTCTCCAAAAATTGGACTGCACTGAAAAGTGCATTGGCAATCAAAGAGCTTTCTCCGACCCTACGTTTCCTGAGGAAGAGCTGAGGCAGAATAGAATTCAGAAATTTGGGACCATAGATGGTAGAACGGGTCCTCCTTAAACAGCTTCTTCCACATGAACTGTGCAAGATAGCTGTCCAACAGAGTCCGTAAAGTCCCATACCGCTCTTTAAATTTTTTGCCAAAGTGACTCAATGGTGTTTGTGCAGGCACCGCTGAGAGGATCAATAAAGTGCAGCTTATGATTTACCGTAAGATGCTGGTACCCTTCAGGTAGGTCTTGAATGCCGTTATAAGCTGCCCACTTATCCGGCATAACAGTAGTATCTGAGAGGATATACTGCCGGACAAGCGGCACAACGGTAGCAGCATCCCTGTGCTCAACTGCAACAATAAAGCACTTATTGCCCCCCTCCGGATCCCTCCAAAACATCACTGATGTGGAACAAGCCTCCCTCCACTGTCCTTTCCGTGAGCCAAAACCATTTAATCAATTTCGGCAACTTTGTCCGGACCGCGCAACTTAACAGGATACGCGTTCAAGTAAAGGACGAATACAACCCGGAAGGCTTCAAATTGAGAAACGATAGTGGCGGAGCCTATCGTACTGCCGGCTTCCCCGCTCATGTCCAGTGCAGTTTGATCGTACACTGGCATGCAAACTTGTGTCCAACAGTAAGATAATTAAGAAACCCCTTTTGGTTTCAAAATTCCCTTTTCAAAGTCCCCATTCGAAACCCCGCCTTCTCCCTGCTTCAAAAAAACTTCCTCCGCACACTACCGTTTTCATTCCTATCATCATACCGCTGCCGTAAAAACAAACTTACTGAAAAAAACCCCAAGAACTTGAAGAAATGCCTCAAACTCTTCACCAAGAAGCGTAAGCTTCTGGAGAGATCTTGATCACCGAAATTACACAAGCAATCCGCTTGGACTTTCAAGAAAACGCACACCGACTACCGTTAATTGGTGGAACATATTGAGTGGCATTTAAGAACAGCAGAAGGTAACATTCAACGTCAGCGACTTGCAAACACAAATGAAAATTTTTACCAACAAAGAACCTGGATATTCGCTGGGAACGGAACCAACAACCACTCACTACGTAACATGCTAGCTCACAATAACCTGCGGCAAATGACAGCTCAAGATTTAACTCTTTCAAGGGATATCTTGAATTTTTGTGCGATTGGGCAAAGGAGAGAAACAGGAAGAAAGCCTACTGACCTCCGTTCGCCTCACTTGCCTTCCCCTCTTTCTTACCTGTGTTTGAAAGACAGACGTTTGCTGTTTTCCCAGCTTCTTCTCTCTTTTCACCAAAATGCATTCATCTAACGCCCAGTCAGTTGGACAAACCAACTCATTTTACTTTCTTTCAAATCCAGAAAAGGACTTGTACAAGTCAAGCACCTTTTCTTCCTATATAACTGTGTGCAACAAACTGTAGGCTTGTTGCGTAGGTTGCGCATCAGAGAAATGAGGACATATCTCTCGTCGTTGTCAGTGAATCATACATACTATATATGGCATCCACGTATTGCAGAAGAAAAGCGGATTTTTTATAGGCATCATCTCCTCCAACCGATCAGCATGATGGGGCTACCAGTCTAAATGAAATCCAAAATTTTGGTGTTTGAGGATACCTGTATCCCAAGGCGCGACATTATGCCGCCTCTTTCCGCGAAAAAATATATATATATACCAACATCATGAGAATCTTGATTTATCAAAGCTCCCTCAACCACATTGTTATTTCGGTTTCTGCGGTAAAATGAGGATGTCTAATATGCATTTGTAAAGTGGCTACCAGATACTCCCTGAGCTTTCTGTGGTTTAAAAATATTTAGAACCATGAACAGTTTGAAGACAGATCCTCCTATATCAACAAAATCATTGTCTTAATAATTCGTAGATAAAAATGTTTTAAACATTCAAAGTGTTTTGACAATAGACCCTCTGAATGTAAAGCAAGATTGGGTAAAGTAAGCAAGGAAGACGTGAATTTATGTAAGATGTTGTAAATTAAAAATACAAGAATTAAGGGACCCAGAAAGTAACTATACAAGCAGGAGATTCAGGTGGTTTACCGAAAATACAGAGGAATTCCGACTGATGTTGAAATCACCTGACAAGTTTAAAGATTAACTGTTAGCCGTCGCTCTGTTCCGTTTTCTTAGAGGTTGCGTTGCTTCTTCAGGGTCTTCGTTTTCTTCATTCCCATCTAATTTGGCCATTCGTTGTTTTAACTTTTCGGCATCTATTCGAAAGTCACGCACACCAATGGAATTCTTTTTAACTTGAATGTCCAGTCTATCGTCTTTCAGCAGTGTGCAAAGAAGCAGCAAGTTTGCCTATTCAAAGTTTAATTTTCCAAAAAAGTTTCTGATAATTTCTATGTGCAGAATTTCTTTACCTGGTACTGTTCTCGGGCACGAACGTAACTGACGTAAAGAGTCTCTTCTTTTAACGACTTCGCATATTTCTTTGCCTGTTTCATGTTTGATTCCTAAGATAGAAAAATGTTCAATTTTCGTCAATGATAAGAGCTTACTCATAAAAGCAGTTCCAGTCAATCTCACGTAAAATCACTCGCTTTTCATGTTATATATTTTACACCTTGTTAAAGCATTGACGACCAGCAGATCCAAAAAAATAAACCCCGTCAAAGCGGTCGAATTCACTACACTGTAGATTCCAACCTCGAGTGATATAAACCATTAAAACTTTGGACCTTACAGCTTTTCCAAATCAAAAATTCTTATTTTCTATGGGCAAAAACCCAACATTAATTCCCGTTTAAACTTAGAAACCAGTTTTCCCAATTTTTTTTTTTTGCCTTTCACAGCTTTCTATTCATCAAACTATAAAAAAAAAACAGTATTGAACTTTCATATAAACCAAAATTACCCAACCCTTCTAACACTTTACAAGATGTGCTTTGAAAATAGGCATGAACGCGCAGAAGTCATGCAAACTCTTACACCCTGACGTGAAATAATTTCTTGCAAAACGTGCTTCCACGTAAACTTCAATTTTTTGAATCGGCGGAGTGAATCTAACAATCATCAAAGTTCAAGAAGGAACTTAGCTGCGAAAGAGTGTAACTTTTTTTTCTGTACGAAGCGCCATTTCAAATCACACAAATATACTAAATTTTCTAGAATAAAGAATGACCAACTACCTCGAAAGGAGTTAAAGTGCCAACGTTCTCATCTGCAGCCTCCATAATTTTCAGTACTGAACCTCCCGCTAGCTGTGCAAGGTCAGTCACAGACTTCCATCCGCCAATAGATGCAGTTTTTTGTTCCGAAAGCAGCTAAACAATCATCATTAGATATCTAACTCTTGTATCCAACAAATAAAAATACTGAGAGCAGATTGAGTAATAAACTCTGTTGCTTCTGTTCGATTGATAAATCCCTTCAAAAATTGTTACCCTTTATGCTTCTGAGGACAGCGTTGCAGATTCTTCAGTATAGCAAAAATACAATTTTTGAAAATAGAAACTAGCAAAAATATTTTGCGTGTCGCCACGTTACTTCAAAAACCAGTTTCAGCATGGAGAAACACTGGACCAGAATTACCCAAATATCATTTTTGTAGTTCGACCAAGTAAGCAGAACTGCATAAAGCCGAGATGAGAAGCAGGGGTTTATTTAGAAAGCTTATCGTATTAGAAAAATTATCGGAAATCTGTCACCAAATTTTGTTTTACTACTGTAAAAAGAACTTTCTTTTGCAAGCGAAATTCATTAAAACCTACTAAAAACTGTTACATACAAATCTTTCTACGGTTAAAAACTTGAGTGTTTTTTGCTAAAAACTTCATCAATACTTTTGTGGAAGCGAAATTGAATTTATAACAGCAAATACAGGAAGACGATGAATAACTTCAATGCGTGCAAACAGCACTTTAACTACAAAAGATAGTAATATAACGGTGAAGTTACTTGAACATTATTCAAAAAAAAAAAATGCAGAAAAAAGAGTATAGTCAAAGAAAAAAAATTTCCACTTTCTCTTTCCCATTTTTTAAAACATACCAACTTCACAATGCAATTCAAGGTGCTGTACAGTGCAGTAAGCAGAGCACAGATTCGATCCTTCAACAGAGCATATTCTACATGAATAGGTAGAAGAATTTTTACAACTTCGACCAACCGTCTGCACAAATCTAACGTCTTTACGACGCTCTGGTCTACTGCAAACAAATTTTTTGTTTTGTATTTTAAAACTACAAACAACATACCACAGTAAATAAAAACATACACGTGGCACTAGCTGCAGCATGTGAAATTACTTCTGGAACGTGCCGAACATCTGCAAATGAAGCGATACATGCATCAATTACCATTTCTGCGCTCAACTCGATGCAACCGTCACAGATCGACTCCAACCCAACATTCCCCTCCTATACATGAAAACTTCGCATTTTTTTTGAAGAAACGAGAGAACAACAAGAACAAAAGTAATTCTCCAAGTAATTTCTACAAAACTGCACAGTTACTCATAAATTGGTTCTAATCTACCTACACAAACAAATTTTTACCAAAATTCTTCCAAAACTTTCCTAATACCGCTTCCGACAAACCGTGTCAAGCAGTCGCTAATTCTGGGAACCCCAGGTAACTAATTATACATGTGATTTCCCGTATTCCCCGCAGTAAACATGTAAAGTTTTAAAGAAAAAGGTGGTAAATGCGAGTGAATCAGACAGAAATGTCTCAACAAGCTTTTGACATCAGATTGGTCTTCTTTTCAAATTTCTGACGTAACAGCAGCTCCCGCTCAAAATTGTAAGGATAACTATTAAATGCAAAATATAACGCTGAGAGCCGATAACGCACTGACTGAAGAACAAATCTTGACTGATTTGACTAGACATTCCAAGCAATTAAAACTAATTGAAACTGCGCAGAAGAATAACGTTAGCAAAATTCCCCAGATTTACTAGGGATTAAAGGCAGCTGCTATTAATTTCTAGCAAAAAAAATTTTTCCTCTGAACTTTACAAGTCTGCCACGATCATGAATCGCCCAAAGCTGCAGGGATCAAATGTCGCCACTACAGAATTCTCCTGGAGAATAAATCTTAAGCCGGCAGGACATTCACATCTCTCTTCTTTGAGTGAGATGAAGAAATCAGTGTAAATAGCCATTATACCGAAATACCTTAAAAGTATTTCAGCCGAGAAACGTTTGACACAAGACAAAAACTCGGATTACTCTAGACAGTTAGCTCCACTGAAAAACTAAAATTTCAAAGTGAAGCAAAGCAGAGCTTAGTAATACCATAACTGGCCTTGAGAACCTGTTGCGAAACAAAGCATTCAAAAGCTAAGCCAATGCAAGTTATGAATTTATGTTAGGTCGCTGGTGAATCAATTGGGAATCGCCATATGCACATCAAAAACAAAAAACCAACAGTAAGAACTTACTACTAAAAAGCTTTATAAAAAAGAAATTGACATTAAAAAGCACTGTTGCGTAAAACGCTTGAAATTTTCTTAAACTTCGCTGCTCTGAGTTTCAAACAAAAAAATTTTTAGAAAGATTGGATATGAAATTTGCCACTTTCAGCCAGGAAAACTGTTTTCAGAAAGTTATAAACCTGTCAAAAACGAATAAATTTTAATACTTTCTGCCTTCAGTTCTACCATACTTTCTTAAATTAATAGAAAACAAATAATTATTTGTTTTGAAAATTTAGCAGATAGCGTAAAAACAAGCCAGAAACAAGCTTTTTGACATCCGTATGTTTAAAACCATGTTTTAAAATCTTTTTTAACAAAGATATTTTTAAAAAATTAGCGAAACCTAAGCGACTTAGAAGCTTGGAAGTGTGTCTAAGCAGAGAACACTACTTGTAGTTCAAAAGCTGGACCGAAATATTAACTTACTCTAGACTAGCAAGCATATGTGCCATAGAAACTTTTTTGAAGCTTAATTCGCCAGCCGAAATTGCAGTTTGTAATGCTGCATCAACAACAATGGAGTAAAAATATGTCACTCCAAAATGAGTTCCGTTTGATCAAGGTTACAACCTACTGTCCTACTGTAACGTAAATACTTACCCTCAATAAAGAACTTTTCACTTATTTGAACGGTTTTGTAATTAAACGAATTGAAACAAATAATACATACTTTTTAAACTTTGACTGTTTGAAATCTCATTTTTGCCATTACTCTCTAATTTTCACAAGATATAAAAAGCAGTCTAGCTTTTAAAAAAAGTGTACTACAAACCGAATCAAAAAGCATAAAACCATTAGATGTTGGAAAACAAGAGCTTTCCAAATGTGGTTATTGTAACTATAAACTACAGTTTTCTTCTTCATTCAATAAACCTTAACCCTTTCTTGAGTACTTTGTAAAGTAAACATCCTCGTTTTTAATCTGCGATTCATGCGCAAGACTTAGTGCTTGAAAGTCCGTAAAATCCTCTTAAAAATGTGCGTCTCGACCCAGGATTTCCCAATTGTTGACCTAACTTATCGAGCCAAAAGAAATTAACTAAAGACTTGCTGCAATTATTTGTTTTCTATTAGCTCAGCAAAAAACAAGTGCTGCACACCAAAATAAAGTTCCAATTCCAGTTACCAGCTAAATCAGAGCAGTTTCATCAAATTTTTAATGTAGGAACTCTGCAGCAAATTTTATTTTTAAAAAAAAATTTGTTAGATAAAGGTTTAATAGCAGGTTCCATTATACAACATTTAATATCCTGCAACTAAAACTTACTTCTTTTTTCAGTAAATATATAATCTGCGTAGAAGCAGCGATGAGAAAATTAGTGTAAAAAACGTCACACAGTCCTCTTCTAACCACAAACGTTAAAAAACGCCACACTTCTTTCAGGACAGCTCTATCATCTGCAAAACCATATATGCTCAAAGAGAGATAATGTGTTTAAAAACACGATTTAGTAAGTAATACCTATTTGAAATTTCTTCAGTAAATGTACTGTGTATTTAAAACACGCATCCAATAATCTACTATCAGAATTCGGGATCAGGAGAGAGAAAGCCTTAGCTGCTGATATACACGAAACCGCTTGACGAGTGAATTCAGCATTTAATTTCCTCTCGTTATAATCCTCGTAAGATTGTAGAATTTTAGCAACATGGGTAACAAACAGGAACTTAATCAATAAAGTTGCAGCCGCAGGACCATTAAGGTTCTTATGAACGTCTTCAGTGCAAATACTTGTCCCTAAACAGCAAGATAACAGATGTATTCCAAAACTGATAAAAAATTCAAGCGTAAGTTAGAAAGATCACATAGTTGTTTAACGCAGAGTTCTGCTCGTTTGCCATATTTCGAAACAATGTATGAAACAGTCAAGGAAAAAGCATTAAGAGCTTGCGTGCATTTGCCGTCCCATAAAGATATATCTGATACCTCAACAACTTTTTCGTTAAGAGTTCCAAGAAGCATATTCAACCTACGATAAAATTAAAACATTAGTGCCAAAATCCTACCACCGGTAACGCCAGGCTAGACTAAATACTTTCTCAAAAACGAGTTAAACTTTTAAGAGGCAAAAAAGTAGACCTAGCGAAGGCAGTCAATGAGAGTAGTGAAGGTTGTGGTGTAAAACTCTGTAGATTAGATGCAACTCGTTCAGAATGTTCCATAAGCCAATTAAAAGTCTCAGAACGTAAAAGTTTTACACATCTTTCATCGTATTCAAAATCATCATCATGCCTTTTCCTGAAAAATCGGCAACTTAAAACAGTATTACTAACTGTTCAAAGTTACAGACGAAATCATTTACCAAAAAATACAACAGACCAACGATAAGCAACCTAGTAGTCATATTAGAACAGCTAGTAAACTCTTTCTCACTCAGTGAAAGCAGAGAGCATTGAAGATACAGTTCCGGCTTGTAGTAAAACAGGGTTTCCTGCAGACAATTTAGCTGATTTCCCTTCTTTCTTCTTTGCCAATTTCTCTTTCAGGACGTCATTCAATTCTTCCTTCTTTCGCAAAAGACCGGTAGCCTTTTCGACACCCACAATCCTTAATACGTTCCAGTAGCACTACAAAAACCTAGACAACTTAAATTTAAAAAACCTGTAGACATAAAATCTATATTAGGTATTTTGAAGCAACGTTATAAGAAACATCTAAAATAGCAGAATTCTCATCTATACGTACTCTTTTACTATATTCCCAATATGCCAAAGATGTTCAACAAGAACATCATATAAAGCGATCATCATAGTTGAAAATAGGCAATTTGCGCGGCCCGTGGCAGAAGGGGAGAAGTCAGAAAGCTTGTCGATCTACAACCTCTTTTGCAAATAATACTACCACTGGACTAATTTAAAAACATACAAAACAACGAGGAGATGAAGAATCAAGAGAAATGTTTACGAAACCTACTTCTAGATCGTGAATATCCCTGTCCAAGGCGAAGTCTACAACTTTTTCCAAATCTTTCACTGCACGACTAATTTGTAAGTCACGTTTGCTAGTTATCTGAGTAGAAC